GAGACAGACAGACAGACAGACAGACAGACAGACAGACAGACAGACAGACAGACAGACAGACAGACAGAGAGAGGGGAAATGGAGAATTTGAGGGATCGAGCAAGAGTGGGTGGTGAGGAAAGAGGTAGATGGAAAGGAAATGGGAGAATGGACACGCACCCGGCAAAAAACAAAACAATGCGTGTTATAGAGATTGATAGATATGGAGGAGGAGGTGGTTTCCATGATTATAACTTATAAAGACGGCTGTGGGAGAACTCAATGTTAAAACAAACGAACACTAACATTGCTTTTTGTTTTGTAACCTGAACATAGGATACGGTGGCCACTTTTCCATGCGATATAGCACGCACAAGAGATATGTGAAGATAGATCACTTCAGCCTTGTACTTTCAGCATGTTAGATACAAATGAGTGGGGTTCCTATAATAAATAATTATGTAAATCTAATTATGCTACGCGAGAGAATTAGAAAGGCAAACGAAACAATGGTAACAAGGAGAAAACAGCAACAATGCCTACATAAAAAACCAACAACGTCTAAAAAAAATAATAGAAAAAGAAACTGCACAAATTCCTTCGGCATCAATAACAGAAAAAAAAATTGCAAACGCCAATGGAAACAGAATAAGAGTAATTAATGATCAATATCAGAAGTATGTTCTTTTTTCGTCTAAATAGTTGAAAAGTGAAAAAATCAGTGAGAGTACTGGTTTAGTTGTGTATAAGTATTAGATGTCGAACTAATGACACACAAACTATATTTGAAAGTGCATTTTAAACAGTATTGTTTTGGGAATTTGTCATTGTGTATTCTAGATTAAACCCCTCGTCAACAGATTGGCGTTCTTGGCCCAGAAAGATTTTTTTTTTTTGCAGGAGAGGGAAAAATGTTTTATTCTTTTAATAAATGCACCTACATGAAGTACATTTTCTTTCAACATTCAGAATTTGATATTCAAACAAAATATTTCTTGAGCACACGCACTCAATACCAAAGATTAAGAAACTGCATTTTTAAAAATAAAAATCTAATTTTTGGGCTTAGTACATTTGAACAGTTGGCTGACAAAAGGTACCTGAATATCTCGAGAGCCATGCTGTCCCCAGCGTTCTCCACCAGCTCCAGAGCCTCGTCTTGACTCTTGTCATGCACAGGGACTCCATTTATGGAGATCACAGCGTCCCCTTCCAAAAGGCCTTGTGTGTGCGCACGGCTCTTCTTGCGAATCTGGTTTTTAAAAAAACACATTACATAAGACAAAAGAGATCGCCACTTTGATTCCTTAAGAATATTTCCAAAAAGGGAATATTAATATCCAGGTCGCCAAAGCACGCTTTATACACTCCATACATATGTGTCACGACGCGGTGGAATCAGGTGTTCGTCAACTTTTGATCAAATTACGGAGTTATCAGAATCAATCTTAAAGGCTGTTAATTTGTCTTGCATTAGGCGAAAACAGATACTACTTATCTTGAAAAGAAGTCAAGATTTTTGCGATTGAAAGAAATAGGGGTCGCCTGGTGCCAGAGGTACAATAAACGAGACAATGGCCGCCAAAGTTAGGCGAGTTCCAAAGATTCAGCGTCCTTTGAAACTGCAAATATATAGGAGTATGATGAGCCTTTGATCACCGGGTTGTTGTTTTTTCGTAAAACCCACACAAAACGTGTTTTTAAATGGATATTATAGAAAATATAGAGCCCAAAAAAGAAAATTAAAAAAAACATTTTTTTAAAAATTGCCCAACGTCCAGAAAAATGCCGATTTCCTTGATTACACTAATTTGACGAGCGCCTGATTTCACCACGCTACCTCACTTTTTATAGCTTTTAGACCAGCGACGTAAAACGCTTACAGTGTCATACATATGAGCATAATTAGTGGTATTGGCCAATAAAACTTTGGTGAATTCTTGGATAACGAAAGTCATGTGATGCATTGATAATAATGTCCGGTGATCAAAGTTACATTACCTTCCCTGAAATCCAAATTGTTGCATCACTCCCTTTGGCAGTGTAGCAAATTGAGACTTCAAAATGTTTTGTTTTTTTGTTCGTTCAGGTGATCGCCACTAAAAAGAGTTTGGTTTTGATTTTCGATGCGTAACCTTTTCTTTTATTCTGATGCCTGCCAAACTTTCAGAGGCCCGAAAAATAAATTTGCATTCCCAGTCCCGAAACGGCTTTTAAAATTATCGACAGGTCATTCAAATAACAAGGACACATTTCTCTACTCAATATTGCTGATTCAACAATTGACCATTTGGAACTCCCCACGTTCAAGAAGGCCAATTGAAGATTTAAACTAGGACCTCCCTTCTCCTCATATTACAAGTTATCAATTGATCAAACAGCTCGTCCAAGGGAAAGCTGAGAATTTACCAATCAGGGCAAAACGTTTTTCCTTACGATCAAACTTCCCCTAACGATGCAAAAATATTTGGTTACCCTCAAAGGTTAACCAATGATTCTATATTATGCTTTTGCCCCCTCACCCCACCCCTACCCTAGAGAACATATTCACACACACACCCACACACAGACCCACAGACAAAAAAAACAACAACACACACACGCACACACACGCACACACACAC